AGGCCGCGGCTGGGCGCTGCCCGGCGGCGGCGGCGGCCGCGGCTCCCACACGGGGCCGGCCCGGGCCTGCTCGCGCTCGGCGGCAGCGGCGTGGGAAGCAGCCTGGCCGGACCCGCGCGGTCCCGGAGCCCGCGGCGGGCAGCTGCTCATGCCCCTCCTCAGCCGCCGGGAGGAGGAGGGCGCCGGGCAGGAAGAAGACGACGACGGGTGGCGGCGGCGCCGCGGGCGGGCCGGGGAGGGCGCTCGCTCCGGGCCCGCGGCCGGCCCCTCACCTTCTCCCGCCGCCGCGGGGCCTGGCTCCGTCCTGCTTCCCGGCCCCCCTCGGCCCCGTGCGAGGCGGCCGAGCCTCTCCCCGCGCCCCCACCGCGGGCGGCCGGGCGGTTGGGCAGCTGGGTGGGGGCGTGCGAGCGGGCGCGCGCCAGGGAGCAAGGGCGGCCGATGGAGGGACGAGCGAGGCCTCCGCGCCTCGGCTCGCGAGTGGGAGTCAGGGCGAGAGCGAGAGAGTGTGCGGGGTGAGCCGGCGGTGCACGCGCACGCTCTCCGTACCCGTACCCCTCCCCCTCCCGGCCCTGGCGTCCCAGCGCCCGCAGCCCGGACTCCGCCGCCAGCCACTCCTCCAGTCGGGACCGCAGCCAAACCCGACTCTCCCCCCGCCCCGGCTCGCGGACCTCCTCGGAGCGCATGCCCCACCCCCACCCCCACCCCCAGGCGGCCCATTCATTCGGCTCTCGGATCGCGCTAATGGTTAAGCGGCTCCCTAGCCCGGGCATCCAGCCTGTCTTTGCCACCTCCACTAATTGAGCCTAGTCCGGCCCTCTCGGGGCCAGCAGAACTGGTCGGGTCACTCCTACGGCCCTTCTCTAGGGTAAACAGTCCGGGAGCCTTCCAGCCTCTGGCAGGGCTTCCAACTGGGGGGCGTCACGAGCCTGAAGAAAGCATCGTTTCTGAAATCCAAACCGTTGGGCAAATCGGGTCTGTGGAAGAAGGGAAGGGCGAGTCACCTAATTAAAACTGTTGGATTTGCCCAAATCCAACCCAGTCCAGCAGTTAAACTTTGATCTCACACGTATACAGATCTTGTCTCTCCTCCCCCATTCCCTAATTAGAAAGTAAATTACTCGAAGGTGCATGCAAAGGTATGGTAACTAGCCTTAAAATCCGGGACTGCCCCTCTTCCGGTCGCGTAATCTTGAGCCAATCACTTCACACCCAGTTTGGGCCTCAGTCTCCCTTTCTGTAAAATGATGGGATTGCATAAATGGTCTTCCAACTCCTAACAGCCTGTGCCTCAAACTTCTGTATACTACCTATGGAGCACCTTTACTGGGTACTGACCACACAGCTAGGCGTTTAAATGAGTGAAAGGTTAAACAGACCCTCTAGCTTATTGACATTCCCCTCTCCACATATTTGCCTTCCTCTTTCTCCACTGTCGCAAAGATCCAAAAGTTAACCCGAGTGTTCACTCATACCTCCATTCTTCTTATTCAGGACCGGCTCCCCATGCCCCACTTCTGTGAGCCCCAAAACTTGGCCTATCCCCAGGGGGACTGTGCAGCGCAAATGAGAAATGGCTATAAAACACTTTGCAAAAGTTAAAGCGCTATATAAATGCCAGTTATTATCATTAGCCTACAGTCTGCAGGCCTCCAATCTGGTGATGACTTCATTCACCGAGCCTTCTCTTTGCACACCTGCTGAGCTCAAACAGTGTTTATCGAGTACTACAGGACTGTGCAGGTAAATATTTAAGGGGAAGGATTTTAAGCATATGTACTTTAAATTTAATCTGCGTTATTAACTCTTTCTTAAGTGTAGACATGCAACAAAACAAATCAAGTCCTGATTTCTGAGTTGTAAATATCGAAATTTTGAAAATTTCACAGCGGCCCTCACGACCCAATTTGAGCTGTTTCCAGTACTGGCAATCTCTCTTAGTTCACTGCTAACACCCTTCCTAACAACGGGGTTCCTGCGGACCTAGGGAGCCTGTGGAACAGATTTCAAGCTCTCATTTTATTCCCAGCAGTGTTAACACTAATGTGGGTTTGGGCAAGTCACTTAACAATTCCTCAACTCTAAAAAGATAGTTGGACCCCATAAGTTCTAAGGGTTCTCCATGGTTTAATGCTATTATCTTTTAGTGGTTGGCATCCTTCTTGGCCAGAATAATAATGGTCCTAAAACCATTAGCATATTTTGTCTTTCTTTTTTTCCTTGTCTTTGTGAATCACAGAATGTTAGAACTGGAAGAGAATAGAGTTCATCCATTCCAATCGATTGAACTTACAGATGAGGAAATAGTCTCAGAGAGGTTATGTAACTTACCTAAGATAACATAACCATATCATCCATAAGTGGTGGGGCCAGAACTAGAATCCAGGCCTATACTTTTAGGCCAGTAAACTTTCCTCTATATCAGTGGTTCTCCAAGTGTGGTAGAGGATCCTTTGGGATTCCCTGAAACCCTTTTGGGGTGTCCTCAAGGTAAAAACTGTTCATAATAATACGATGATGTCTTAATTTCTTGTATGGTAAATATTAATAGATACAAACCAAATAAACAAAAGCTCTTTGGAGGGTCCTCTGTAATTTTAAGAGTATAAAGGGGCCTGTGACCAAAAAATTTGAGAAAAATGGCTCTACATCATGGCCTTTAAATCTGGTTTGGGATTGCTGCTAGATCTTATGTAGTTTTCTAACCTTTCCTATTTCTAAGTGCATTTGCTTCAGAGAAGCTTCATTAAGACTGAAAGCTAATTGTTTGCACCTGTATCTGGACTTTGCAATTTCAGGACCACTGATTAACATATTGTTCAATTACTGGACTGTGCAATATCCTATATCAAGGCCATATATTTTCTTACAAGAAAAGAGCCTCTTACTGATGATAAAATTATATCTCCCTTATCTCAGTGGAGGTAGAAAACAGGTGCAAAATGATGTATATACTATTAGGCCTATGTCAGTTTATTTTGATTAATTAGCTTTTTCTTGTTGCAAGAGAGGAAGTCTGTTGAGGGGAAGGGCAATGTTGAAAAATTATACTGATGGGGAAAAAGCATCAGTAAAACTTAAATGGACCCCTATCCACTGGAGTTTTTTTAATCTGTGATAATTGAGGGGGCTACGGTCATATCTCATGCAATTTGAGTGATCCACATGAACCGTATTGTACACAAACATTGGAAATAATTCACTTCAGAAAATCAGAGAGTATTTCAGAGAAAAATCAGAGAAAATCAGAAAAATGAGAGTATTTTTCCCACAAAGCATATTTGTGCTTTGATCAAAGGTACAGACAAGTTTGAGAGATAGCAAGTACAATACTGATTTCACTTTTACAAATTCATCTGAATTAATGAATATTTTTATGAAAATAAAATTAATGTAGTCCCACCAATCATTACCAAACAAAATTGACATGTACGAATTTCAGATTTATAGGTTCATTCCTGGAAATTGCTTTGTCTATTAAAATTAAAACTACTTTTTATTGTTCAGTCATGTGTTGATTCTTTCCAGTATTGATGCATTTTTGAACACCCACGACAATATAACAAGTACAACTCCCAGCTCTGTTCTAAGTGTTACTGGAGTCATAGTTTGCTGCAAGAATAATTCTGTTGGTGTACAAGAAAGTCTTTCCATTCCCATGTATAACTCGTGACTCCTTCGATTCACCCTTTTAATTTTAATTGATTACTGTAATACTAGAAGACAAAGATGAAAGGGAAAAGATGAGCACAAACTTAATGAGGTTGTAAGGAAAATTGTAAGGAAAACTATAAGCAGTCTCCTTATGCTTTCCTCTTCAGAGGAGCATGCTTCCCTATTCTTTAAATAAAGATGAACCTAGAAATGCATATGTATAAAATAGAACATTTCTATTTTATACGATCTCCACTGATTATCAGTATAGTCAGAAAGTTTCATTTTCTTCTTCACCCCAGACCAGTTACCACTCCCCATCTCCAGGTTTTTCTGGCTCCAAACCTCTTCTCTACCTCATTACTTGGGCAAACAGCCCTTTTGAATCTCCACTCCATCCCCACCTTGAACTTGGGGTAGGAAAATTGTAGGCCACTTCTTACTCTGCTGTGGAAGCAAAA